CTGACAGGGGAAGCTGGGTTGAAAAATCTGAAGGTATTATCTTGACCTATGCTAGGATTGAACCCTGGACCTTCAGGTTAGTGAGCAAGTGTCTAACTCACTGACAGGGGAAACCGGATTGAAAAATCTGAAGGTATTATCTTGACCTATGCTGGGATTGAACCCTGGACCTTCAGGTGAGCGAGCAAGTGTCTAACTCACTGACAGGGGGAACTGGATTGAAAAATCTGAAGGTAATATCTCAACCTATGCTGGGATTGAACCCTGGACCTTCAGGTTAGCGAGTAAGTTACTCAGCGTTCAAAGGGTTTAAGAAATTTAATGGTAATTATGTTTACCTTGGCAATCACCATTGGATTGTAAAACAAATCCGATACCACAGTCGCATTTCTTCTGTTTGTTCACACCAACTGGTAAACATAACTGTGAACATCCCCCGTAATTATCTGAACACCCATTGCTTCCACTATCTACAAAAAAGCATATAAAAACAACAGTGTTAATGAGATTGTAAAGAGGTTTTCTAAATTTTTCATGTGTATCAGAGACACTGATAGCATCAATTTACATCATTCTAATTTTCAATCAGACGTCTGTGGTTCTTGTTAAAGAGATTGTAAAGAGGTTTTCTATATTTTTTATGTGTATCAGAGACACTGATAGCATCAATTTACATCATTCTAATTTTCAATCAGACGTCTGTGGTTCTTGTTAAAGAGATTGTAAAGAGGTTTTCTAAATTTTTCATGTGTATCAGGAGACTGCAATTTTGGGAAATTATTTTTGACTTGAGATGTGCTCAAGACAGGCAACACTATGCAGTGTGAAATGAGGGAAATTTTAACAAAGATAACTTACCATGCCTGTCATAATATATTTTCAGTGACTGTAATTTTGGAAGATTATTTTTGACCTGCGTTGGATGTGTCAAATTTGAAAAGTTGGCCTCATAGATGGCCTCGTAATCAGAATCAGTATAATACAAACGATTCTTGTAAACCGTTAAACCGCCTGGTGAACTTAGGTTCGGAATCAGTCTCTTCTTTACTCCAGAGTTTATATCGTACTTCGATATCTTGAAAAAGAAAAAATGAATTGAAATGGAGTTTTACATCCTACTTTTCTGAACCTAATTGGGCTAATGAAGACGGGCAACGCCATGCAGTGTGCAATGAGGGAAATTTTGTAAGGACAGCATCATGAGCCTACTCTTTTTGATTTCCAACTGTCGAGGGATCTTCACTATGTACAGCCTGTAGCACACAGGACCTCGGTTTATTGTCCACCCGAACAACTAGACGTTTTTTCCATGTCAGCCCCTCTTACCTACATCACTGACAGGGGGAAACTGGGTTTAAAAATCTGGTTAACGAACAAGTGTCTAACATCACCGATCCACCATGGCCCCGAGGTCAATGAGCAAGCAACTAAACTTACGTCTTGATGGAAAGAATCGGACCAATATAAAGCCTGGTTATTGATGTCTATAGTAAGATATTGTGGTACTCTAATATCAGTTGATACCAAAACTTTAGACTTGGTTCCGTCCATATTCATTACGCCTATTTTAGCAGGGACGCCATTACCTCCTTTATCAGACCAATATAGTTTCCTGAAAATATAAAAAATATCATAAACATATCGAAAGAATTTGATTGGTTAAAGCAGAGGTCATCAGGTTAGGTCAAAAGGTTATTGGGATAATTCATATTCGTCAAATTAACCTTTTGACCTTACCTGATAAAAACCATGTGACAAAATACTATACTCGGGGCCGTGGTAAATACAAGTGAGAAAAAATTACGTATTCATAGTTAAATATTGTCCAATCAAAATTGGCCCTATTGTATTGGTAACAAATTTCAGCCAATCAAAACAAATCACGTAAACAAAACGAAAGTAGGGTGTCATTAAATGTTTTGATGAATATGTACGGTACAGAATTGAGTAAAATTTTCGTTAAAGAATTGAAGCCCAGAGAAAATCAAACCTTACTTTGTAATATTTACTTGGAAAGAATGTGTTCTTATCTCTTCAAACAGGCGGCGGCAAAGCGATGTTGTGTTTTGTTTACATGACCTCATTTCTGCTCTACCGATCTGATTTGTCAGATTTAAATGCCACCAATCTCATTTCCACGCCCCCAAAACGAAGTATAGCGGGCTTAGTTTGATACGGGTTAATAAGACCATGTTAAAACCTGTATTCGTGATACAGTGTTGTTTTGTTTATTTGACCTCATTTCTGTTCTAACGATCTGATTGGTCAGATTTAAATAGCACCAATCTCATTTCCACGCCCCCAAAATGAAGTGTAGTGGGCTTAGTTTGATACGGGTTAATAAGACCATGTTAAAACCTGTATTCGTGATACAGTGTTATTTTGTTTATTTGACCTCATTTCTGTTCTAACGATCTGATTGGTCAGATTTAAATAGCACCAATCTCATTTCCACGCCCCCAAAATGAAGTGTAGTGGGTTTAGTTTAATACGGGTTAATAAGACCATGTAAAAACTGCATTCGAGATAGGATACACACAAATATACGGTACGTACCCTTGAACTGGATCTAAACAAATAGATAACGGAGCAGCTACATCAGTCTCTTTCCCATTATTACTGATTAATATTTTACGATAGTGTTTCTCCCCCATCATCTTCATAACTTCTATCGTGCTCATATCTTCATTGGCCCAATATAAATTATTAGAGAGCCAATCAATAGCCAGGGCATTAGGCTGACCAATGACAGCCGTCGGGACAAATTCTGACGCGTTTTGACCATTGATTTGAATTCTTCTCAAACTACCCTGTAAAAAATAATATTCATAATTCAGGGGAATCATTCTTGAAAAATAAACTTAATATGTTTTCCAGTCATCTGATTGGTCAATTATTAATATTAAAGTTTAATTATCCAATCAGATTACTGTATTTCTTAACTTAAGATGATTTTAGTATTCCAGTCATCTGATTGGCCAATCAATGAAATTGATCTTAAATTCAGTTTTATTATCCAATCAGATTATTGTATTTCTTAACTTAAGATGATTTTAGTATTCCAGTTATCTGATTGGTCAATCAAAATTGGTTTTAAATTTAGTTTATCATCCAATCAGATAACTGTATTTCTTAAAAGGATAGATGCGCCATTTTTTTGACCAATCATACTTTAGTCTCAGAAAATGAAATTCCTAGTTTGGGATATTTTTAAAGGAATTATGTGATTTTGGTACATTTCTAGTATTTCTGAAGACTATTTACATATATTCAAGACTCAAATCAACCCCCCAAAATGGAGAACGCATCCATTTAAAACTACACAAAATGGAAATTCTACTTACGTTTTCCTTCTCGATATAGTATATAAAACCTTCGCGACTGTCGTAGTCGAAATCTAAACCATCAACAAGGGAAGTAACTGGTATCATACTTGGTTTACCCTTGCTATCAGGTTTTATACCTGATATCATTCTAGGCTGCATGTATAACAATACAACTTCACTAGCTGAAAAAAATAATTAAAATCCTTTGTCAGTTTCCTTTAAATCCTTAAAGAGATTTTCTAAACACTGACAGCATCAATTTACATCATTCTAATTTTCAATCAGATGTCTGTGGTTCTTGTTAAAGAGATTGTAAAGAGGTTTTCTATATTTTGTATGTGTATCAGGGACCCTGATAGCATCAATTTACATCATTCTAATTTTCAATCAGACGTCTGTGGTTCTTGTTAAAGAGATTGTAAAGAGGTTTTCTAAATTTTTTTATGTGTATCAGGGACACTGATAGCATCAATTTACACCATTCTAATTTTCAATCAGATGTCTGTGGTTCTTGTTAAAGAGATTGTAAAGAAGTTTTCTATATTTTTTATGTGTATCAGAGACACTGATAACATCAATTTACATCATTCTAATTTTCAATCAGACGTCTGTGGTTCTTGTTAAAGAGATTGTAAAGAGGTTTTCTAAATTTTTTATGTGTATCAGAGACACTGATAGCATCAATTTACATCATTCTAATTTTCAATCAGATGTCTGTGGTTCTTGTTAAAGAGATTGTAAAGAGGTTTTCTATATTTTTTATGTGTATCAGGGACACTGATATCATCAATTTGAACCATTTCAGTCAAGTGTGACGAAAAAAATAGTAGGTGAAGACAGAATTCAATGGCGGAAAAGGAAATAGATGGGAAAATTTTGAATGTGACATATCCGCTTTCATCCCGTTCAATTAGGGTCAGATTTGAAACAGACTGACAGAACATATTAATATAATAATGTTACTTCACCTTGTTTACAAACATGACTGGTGGCATCCATCTTGAATCCAACTGGACACAAACATTTATAACCTAATTCTGATGTTGGTGATAGCAGACACAGATGACTGCATGGTTTCTTTTCACACGAGTTACTGCCTAAAATATATATATTAATTATTTATCAGGCAATGTTCAAAATAAATTATAAGTAATGGTCAATTTTAAGGGACAGGTTTCGCCATTTTCAGGGTTTGATTTGAGTGTTGAATATATGTAAATAGTCTTCAGAAATACTAGAAATGTACCAAATCACATAATTCCTTCAAAAATATCTCAAACTAGGAATTTTACTCACTATTTCTATAGATGTCTTTTCTATATATCACAGTGTCTCAAGAAAAGACAAGTTGTCATTTTAACTTTCAAACGTGGATAATTCTGAACACACATGGATTTGAAGGCTCAAATTTCGACAGTGAACTGTGAACACTATTACTGATTGACTTAGCTGAAAAAATTCCCGTTTCTGAGACTAAGGTACGATTAGATAACCGATAGAAAACCT